CCTTCTACTTTTACAATAATATCCTTATGTGGTATTTGTCCTTATGAGACTGAGTTAGTTCACTCAGCATAATGTTCTCCAGTCTTTCCCAAGTTATGTAGTCTTTTTTAGAGATCAGTAGAACAGTACTCATACTGTTGATAGGATTGCAAAATGGTGCAACCACTCTGGAAGGCAGTTCTTGGCATTTCCTAAAAAAAACTGAACATAGAAACTCTTCTGTATGATCCAGCTATTCCACTACAAGGACTATCCCAAGGAAATCAGAACTGAGACACAAACGGAGATTTGGACACCAATGATGATGACAACATTACTGTAATGATCTCTAAAAAAGACTACATAACTTGGGAAAGACTGGAGAACATTATGCTGAGTGAACTAACTCAGTCTCATAAGGACAAATACCACATACGAACATTATTGTAAAAGTAGAAGGTAACTAGTAAAATATGTGTGGGGACCCAAGGCGGGGCAAGAGTGGGAGCAAAGGGATGAGGCTAGGCAGGGGCAAAAATCACAGAGGTGCACAACTTGGTGGGTGGAGGGAGGGGGTAAAGGAAATGGGAAAGATCTGCTGAGGACCTGGGTAATGGTGGGCATGGATCAATGGTGATTAATTTGAATGACTGCATGCAACCTAATGTGAATAAAGAATAATGTGAAACACAACACATACAAACTTTGTAAGTAAATAAATATAAAATAAAAATTAAAACAATACCTCAAAGTAATGGAAGCCACACCCCTAAAGTTAGCAGCACTCTTGAAGGCTCCTCATTTCATCCCAACCTACACCCTGTGCCACCACCCCACAAATGTGTGTAACAGGGAAGCTCACCATCAGCTGCACTGAAGTACTCGGGGTTCACAGAGGCGTACAGCACTCCATTCCCCAGCCTGCTGCTACTTCTGTCAGAAAAGAAAAACAGATGTAAAAAAAAAACAACAAAACCCTCATCTGCACATTTACATGTATACTCGCATCTCTGTCACATCTTCTTTTGGTGCTATTTGCTGAGGTGACTTTACAGCTCATCACACCTCTTCCTGACAGGCACAGTTTCAGGTCCACTTTGACCATCAGTCATGTGCTCACAAGGCTTTAGTATCTTGAGTCATAGATTAGGACTCTCAAAGAAGTTACAGTCTCTTTACTTCATTGGCAACACAAAGGCTTATTTGGGTGAGAAGACTCAAACATGTTTTAAAAAGCTTTAAGTAAGTATTAGTGCTAGGGTGATAAGAGCAAGTGGGGAAAGTCAGTACCAATCCACAGAAATCCCCAGTCTTCAGAAAGATTACTTGAACTCGAGTTCACATCAAGCTTCTCAGCCCTAATCATGACTTCAAAGCTCACTGAGACACTCACCTCTTTCTGTGGCACACGTACAGCATTATAACCAAACCTCCCACCACCAGCAGGATGGCCACAGGCAGAGCGATGATGAGATGGATGAAATTTTCATATGGTCTTACTGCAGAAATGAGAGAAAACGTCATGAGAAGAATGCCGTTTTTACTGTCAGTCAAAAGTATGGAAAAAAATTCCTGAAACATTCACTGTACTTTTATGAATTAAGAATTCTGAAGAGACAGAAGAACTCCTGCCCACCGCCAGAGGGGGCTCCGCTGCCAGCCGCCGCCAGACGGTGCTCCGCCACCAGATGGGCCAGTAAGAGATCCGGGAAGAACAACAGTCAGCCACCCACCGTGGAACTCCAGAGGAGCAAAGACCGTGAGACCCCAGGGAGCGAACACTACCTGCCACTGTGTGACCCCCCTGCAGCCCGCACCTGTGTGACCCCCAACACACAGGGTGCTGCTGTATAAACCCCCAGCA